AATTTGGGAGGCTATTTTAGAAAAATCAGTCCCAACATTTCCCTTAAAATCAGGATAAATTTGTGTGTCAAAATGAGTAGAAATTATTTTAAACAATGTAATATTATTGGATAGTATGAAGCATTGATTCCACATTATATTTTATTACGTAGCTTTGAGAGTTCGTCTTTGTGGGTATTTACTTATTTTTTCATCTAAATGTATGATGGAGTATAGTCAAGAAGTTCATTGATGTTCCACACAGGTTGCAGGTTCCATGACTGCTTTAGGGAAATCCCTAAACCTTTACTGCCTATGAAACTAGAATGAATTTTCCAAGTCTGACAACTCTACACTTCTTTCACATCAGGAGATGCAAGTTAAAAATAATGAGTTAAAAAATAAAACCACAGTAAACTCTAAGTCATTAAAAAGGAAACCACAGTTCTTACAGATATATTGCTAATCATTAAATATTATTTTTTACAATAGTCCCTGCCCAGAAGAATTAATAATCTAATAATAGCCAGTTCTTGATCTGGGACTCAAAAGCATGTGTTTGATTCCAAATTCAGCTACAAGGATCCTGTGTGATTTTGGCCAACCCATTTAATCTGCCCTGTGTCTCATTTCCCCATCTGTAAGTGGGCGTAATACTTCCCTTCATCACAAGAGTGTTGTGAGGACAAAAGCCACATGTGCTTAGTGAGGAGCTCAGTTACAGAGAGAAGAACCATATTAATACTCACTAGATGATGCAACAAGTCAGCAAAGGGAAATTTTCTAACAGTAGCGAAAAAATGGACGGAAGGAACAAAAGTCACTGTAGTCATGCGTATATCTTGGTGGGTCAATAAATCCTGGGCAAATAGTTATGAAAGCAGGACCATTGCATTTAGTTATGTAAGTGAATACTTCTCAGCATGAGTCGTGGGACCTTACCTCTTTGAAAATAAATGAGGATTAAGATCGTCACTCATGCAAACAGTCTTACTGAAGTCAGTGGTGTTACCCAGACAAATTTCTCTATCCCTTCACACTTTAGGGACACACACCTTTATCCAGCTCCTAGGGCTCAAGGTGCAACCCTGTTAATTTACACACCCACTCTAACATAATTCTTAGGGCTGAGGGCGTAACTTCCTTGGGTTTGCAGGATCTTTTGCCACTGAAAGAGCCTTACACAGTAATATTCTTATTCTCTATTTATTGACAATTCCCAAGCAAGCAGAATACACATGCTGAGCACATAGTGTCATGCTCACCAATCCTGATACAGGCAGGCAGACTTCCCCTGTTGGCCAGGCTAGGTCAGTCTCTCTGGCTCTTAGCTGCTGCACATCATGGTTGTGCACAGGAGGCTGTATCTTGGAGGCGAATTTTTCAGGTCTTCCCTCCTCCTTTTTGGTGTTCCTTTTCTCCCCTCTTTTCCTCTTCTTGCTGGTCTCCTTCTTGGACCCCAGTCTATACAGAGAAACTTGAGTCCTGCTTAGCTATACTTTAACCAATTATTTTAGTATAATTTTACCAACCAATCATAACATACCGTAACAGAATTACCTAACCAATCATACCCCACCACCTTAGTTAATTTACACCTAGCAAAATTAATTATACAGCAGACAGAAACAGTTACAAACCAGGCAGAGATCACACAGACAAGTAGGAAAGTAAGGACAAGAATCATAGAATGCGGATTCCACAACCTCAACTATTGGTAAACAGTTTCTTGCCAGATGAAATGCTTGTAATTAAGTTTTCTTTACCCAACTTGAGATCTGTTTCTTTATCTGTTGACAGTGGGGGCCATTAGGAGAGGATCCACTTCTCTCAGGCTAGTGTGACACTATTTTAATGCAATTTAGATGGAGTGTGAGTATGTGACTCCAGGCTTTATAGCTAATGGCTGCTGCTCTTCAGTCTGGCTGCAGAAGAAGGCTTTAGTTTAGGCCTTCCAATATGGCTACAGGCCTTCCAATATGGCTACAGAAAAACCATATTGTTACAGTGGGATTAATCTCTCTATGGATGGTAAGATTTTTAGGACAAAACCTTATCTCATTTATCATAGGATATCAAATTATGGGTGGGGTGTCAGATAATTATTTAATGAGAGTAGATGTTGAGATAAAAACAAACTGCCAATATCATATGCCAAAATACATGGCTTCAAATCAAATTCTAATGTGTTGTCAAGCAGCCATTTTTCTTACTTTGTCTATCTGTACATTTTGAGTAGTATCAAGAGAGAGAGAGAGAGAGAGAGAGAGAAATTGATATTTATTGATAAAAACTGAATCCTTCCAAGTTTAACTACTGTAATTTAATGGGTTTCAGGCTGGAGCATACATTGGGCTGTGTCACTATGGCTTAGTCCTATTCACCTGGCAAGCAGCTATAAAAGGAGCAATGCTCTGCACAGTTAGGCAGAGGTAGGATAGGCTTAAGGTAACAAAACACTTAATGAATGTTTGTAACTGTAGCTAGTTAAGATGGACGTTTGCCAGCATGCCTAGAACAGCAGAACCTCTAGAGCCAGCCCTGCCCACAGCTCAACATGTTCATTTATGAGTTGGCATAACTTGAAAGTGGTGGCTGGCTGCATCTGGTACATCTGTTTATTGCATGGCATTTCCCAGCCCTGAAGAAGAGCTCTGGGGGCATGTCTACACTAGTGAGAAGATCGACCCTCCAGAGGTTGATCATCTTGCATTCAGTTGAGTGGGTCTATCGTAGACCCATAAATCAAATGCTGAGGGCAGCCCTACTCCCCACCCTCTGTATCTGATATTCCTTGTTCTGATTGTGCTCCCATCGGCCTCCCACAGTGTGGACACCGCCACCACTTGGCTTAAGGTAAGCTGGCTCCAGCTACTCATTTTGCGTAGCTAGAGTTGTATACCTTAAACCAACCTAGTATAGACTAAATCTAGGTACGCTTGAAAGCTCATATATCCCACCAATAGAATTTGGTCTAATAAAAGATATTATAAACTTAAAAAACAACAAATGGTCTGGTATCACTTTATAGACTAACAAAACATGTAGATGGCATCATGAGCTTTTGTGGGTACAACCCATTTCTTCAGATGAGTGGTCTGTGCCCACGAAAACTCATAACAGACCATTTGTTGTTTTTTAAGTTTATCCAGTACAGACTAACTCAGCTACCCCCTGAAGCTTCCAAAAAGCTATTACGTCACCCATGTTGTGTTACTCATACAAGATTGCCTGAGCCAAATTTGGATGCTAACACTTTCTTCACTTCTGATTTTGTTTCTTGTCAAAAAATTCTCCTAAGGATATGGTAGTTTCTGCCATAAAACAGGATGGTTAACAGCTAGAATCCAAACCCAGGAGTGAGGGTACAACATGTGCTTAGATCCCTATATGCAAAAGTGGGCTAATTAGTAACTGATTATTAGTTTTCTTCCACCACTTTCTAAAGAGCCTGGAGTACTGTCTCCCAAGACTCCTCAGCAATTAGCACCAATGCCTCAATACTGATGCTTTGAAGTGGGCAGTGGGGTCAACGGCAAATGAATATATCTCTGATTAAGCCTTCTCCTGAAAGATGGACTTGGTAAATAAAGTTGCATCCGTTAGATAAAGTAGCAAGAAGGAGTGTTTGCGTGTGTGCGCACACATGCACCCGCCACTGCATGAGAAGCATTGTGCCGTGCCAATCAGTTATATAAAGGATTGTTTGCCTGCACTGATATAAGTGACATACAATATTATTAGGTCTGCGTGTGAGCTTTCAGAGTAGAGCCCAAAAAAAAAAAAAAAAAAAAAACCCACAACCCTGTGACTACTAAAGCAAATTCCTTTTCCGTTCTGCTCTGCCAAAAGCAACTCAATCTGGTATGATACAGTGCATTCAAGTCTCAACCAGTGTGGTTGCCTTTGAAGAGCAAACTTTTGGAAATATCCTGTTTGGAAACAATGTAGGCTTTCTCCCTAATGGCTTCTTACTGAGGACATTTGTATGAAAGAATGTGTTTTTTCACTAAAAAAAAGTATATATCTAGTCTTTTTCAGTGTAAATGGAAACTGATATTGATTACTGAGACTGAAAGGCACAAATTACTGAGCTCTATTGTTGAAGATGCAGAATGGAGGAGTACTTAAATATTATCTAACTGATCCTCCCAAAAAATCTTTAGGTCAGCCCTGGGGATAGCATTGTGATTATTATGGAGGGGGACCGAATATGTTTTAGAGAGATGCAGAAATAAATGGCTTGCAACCCATCCAAAAATGTTCAGCACAGTTCTGCTTGTTAAAATGTTCAACTTTTTCCAAGTATACCCATATTGCACAGCTGAAATCAGCTACAAAACCATTCTTCCCATCCCAAGTACACAGGAAACGTGTGATTTATACATTTAATTGCATCCAATTTGTTTCCCCAAGATTGAAGGAATCACTTGTCAGCATTTACAATTAATTTCTGAGTCCTATTCTCTCACAATTTCACTAGTGTCCCAAAGTACAGATAAAATCTGTAAGACTCCTCTGAAATGAAAGTTATGAACATTTTAATGCACTTTATTTTTTTGTCAAAATATAATATAGATTAGGCATTTACTCTTTGTTAAAAGTTTGGAAAGAACCTATAATCAACATGTAATACAAATAGTCTAGTTGTTAGAGTTAGAGACTTGGAGTCAACTCCTGGGGCCTATTTCTTGCTCTACTACAGGCTGAACTTCTCTAGTCTGGCACCTGATCAGAGCCAAACCAGAGAATTTGCTGGATCACAGGATGTCAATATTTTCTAGCAGGATTACTAACACTTTCAGTGCTTACTGGGCTCTTAGAAGACATTTAGGGGTAAATTAGAGCTAAATAACAGCACACAACACTGAGCGCCAGAACTAGTGGCTATAAACAAACTTTATGTGACCACGGGAAACTTGGCCCTACCCATAAGTGAACATCTGGCTAACTAAAATCATGCCAGACTAAGGATGTTGTTGGACCACAGAGTGCTGGATTGGAGGGGTTCAACCTGTACTAATTTACTGTGTGGGCTTGGAGAAGTCACTTAACCTCAGTTTACCGATCAAAAATGGAGATAATATTTACATGTGCTCTGTGTCTGTGATCCTTGGATGAAAGTACAATGCAAAGCTTTGCAAAATTGTCATGAAAATGTATCAGTCCTAGCACAAAATCTTTTTGTTTCTCTTCACTTTGAGGATAATGAACAAACATTATCTTGCTTGACCATTTAAAAAAAAATACATACCCCGATGGTGAGTACAAGTACAATTTTGCAAAGCTGCTAAAGTATTATCAAAACTGCTATGTAGACACCCTAGTGTCTTGTTAGTATGAAGTATATGGCCTCTGAAAATTTCTAAAGTGCAAGAAATATCTGTTTTACTACACACAGAAAAACAAAACAAAAATCATTTTAATCTATTTTGAAGTTTATTACCCTCAGCAATTTTGAAGTTAAAAGTACTGTACACTATGAAAAAGTGCATAGCACTGAAATCGTCACTTTGGCTAACATAGCTCAAAGAGAAACAATGAGAAGCCTTTGCTTTATATACATCTTTACAGAGTATGTAACATCCTTTGGTAATATGTGTATAACAATCTATATGCAAATAAGATCTACAACATCTTCAGCTACACCAATTACAGAGCATTGGATGAAATACAAGTTAGAACAGATCTTCAAATGCACCATTGTACTCTTTTGCTCTTATATACACTATATAACATCAGAAGCAAATCTAGAATGGTGGAATGGAATAAGTAGATAGGACCAAACTTTCAGTAACTAAGAATTTTAGAATTCTATTATCTCATCAGCATTTTTTATCCTGTATCATTGAGATAAAAAAGTTGCACCAAGATATCCATGTTTCTGAACAATATTCTTCAGCCACCTTTTGTTGATTAATGTAATCTATATCTTCAACACAGTCACTGGAATCTTTCCCTGGCTGATTTTCAGGTGTAGTGGCAGATGCTGAAGTTTGTGTGATCGCTTTTCCTTGGTGAGTAGTCTTATCATTTATGGAGTCTTGAAGTGTTACCAGGCTTGAGCTGGTCAAGGTGAGATGGGCACTTTGTGGTCCTTTCTTGCATACTTTAGATTTGAGGATACCTTTTGGGTCTTGACAGATATTCTTCTGTTTCTTTAGGGATCGTGAGATTTGTTTCCAGTATGGTTTTTGGTTTGCTGCAAATTGAGGACAGGTGGAAGGATTTCCTGAAAAATCACACCGGAAGTTGCTTTCACCTTTCTTGCATTCTACTTTTAGAGTAACAGTGTCTACTTCTGTCACAGCCCAGGTGCACTCAGAATTATCTTTGGTGGTAAACTTGCCTTTAAGGGAAGATTTACCACCTTTGGATTTCTGTCCTCTCTCATTTTCTTGAGTAGATCCTGTTTGTTTTTTTCTACCTTTTCCACCATTTTGCCTTTCTTTATTTCTTTCCTTCTGTGCTTCACCACCATTTTGTCTTTCTTTATTTCTTTCCTTCTGTGCTTCACCATCAACTAGTAGCAATTGAGAAACCAGAAACAACACAAAAAGCAGTGCAATACTTCTGGTTTTCATGATCTCAGCTTTTCTTGTAACCTGTTTTTAAAACAACAAATAATAAGAAAAATCACTTGCAATGTTGGAATTCACTCAGTTGCCGCATTTTAAAGGTTTTTTTAGGAATTCTTTAGGATACTACTCACTGACAGTGGTATCAAAATGGCACACTACCATTACAATTGTATTGTATGGAATATTTTATGGAAATAATCTCAAAGTTAGTTCATATTGTATTTGGGAAATTAAGCAATATATGGGATGTACCCATTCACATCATTTCATTATTTTTTTCTTAATGGACTGCATATAAAAAGTCAAACTCTTTCTTGGAAAATTCTGCAACTCACACTCAAAGAAGCAGTCCTATTTACTTCAGTGTGACTAGTAGAGTAAGGGAAATGCACATGAGGCAGGGTGGCAGAATTGGGTTACTAGAGAGTGGCTGTATTTGAATCCATTGGGTCTTTTCTTTGGAATAAGAAATGCATTTAGTTTCACTTTTGAAGGTGTTTGCAATATATTGAGTCAATCTATAACTACCCAAAATCTAGAAAATGTAAATTATTATCCATATTTTCAATTTTAAAATATAACTGTTCAGCAAATTCAAGAGGGATCAAACAATTTTAAAATTAAAGTCCATATCTTGCAAGCTGCTCTGTAGAGTTGGAGCCTGGCATGTGCACAGAGTCTCATTCATTTCAATGAAGCTTGCAGGGTCAGGACCTACTGATAGGATGGAATTTACAGTATGCGTAGATAATTTATAACCTGGTCTTAAATGGATGAGTCCTAGATGCACAATTCATATACTTGCACCGGACCCTCCTCCAGTAACTAAGTTTCCATGTGAGCAAGCTAGGTATTCTTGGGTGGGTATTCCATCAAGGAAGGTAGTTCAATATTTACTTATCTGTAAATACTTAAATTTAATCCTGCCGATTTACTCATCTGAATGTGAAGACCCTAGAATATAAGAGAAGAGTCCACTTTGGACATCTTTCTTTTCCTTGTCCCACAACTAGATACTACTACAATTGTTTTAGCACTGTACGAAAACCTATGATAGCTAGCTCTCCATAGCAGATATTGCACAGCATTTTTACAGCTGACACTTCTTAAACAAGCAAATCAAATGATTAGCCCCCCCCAAATCTTGTCTTTAATTTATGTGAGATTAACATTCTATTGCAAATGTAATACTGAAAATGTAAGAACACATACCTTGCACAGCCTGTAGATTTATCCAATTGTGTTTCAAGTGGAATATCAGCTCTTTCAAAAATATCATGCTTAGTTGTAAAGTGTCATGCTATTTATAAAGCCAGAGTCACACCTTCTTCCCCATTACAACACAACTGAATGCTTCAGTGATTTATTCGTTTACTCTTGACACACCTTCCTGAACAGATGCCAGTGATTGCTTACAGTAGTTAAAAAAAAAAAAAAAAAAAGGGCCAGGTACAGTGGGGTGACAGAGGCGTGGTTGAACAAATGAGATGTTACATTAGTCAAGACCTTCCCCTTTCTCATATAGTAACAAAAAGTGTTAAGTCATAGATTTTTTAACATTATCTTTTTCTAACCACTAAGGGCTAGATCTTGCAAAGAAAGCACTGAGCACCTTGAACTCTCACTGAGTTCAATGGGAGTTGGGTGCTCAGTACCTTATATGATCAAACCTACAATGGACAGTTTGCTACCCTGTTATATATACCATTTCTCACCTATCAACTAAAGGTTTAAAAATACATTTAATAAAAGAAAACATGTTTCAATGTAATGGGAAGATATTATCCTTTCTTTTGAGATAAGTTTAAGAAACACTGCTTTGGACTAAGTCCAGAGTTTGGAATGGGCCTCCCTCATGTGTATCATAGGGTGTGTCTAGACTACAGTGTTTTGTATAACCTGCGTCTACACTATACCTGCGTCTAAACTACTGCCACGTTCTGTCGACAGTAAGTCCACAGAACGCAGCAGGTTTGTCGATGATGGCAAACCTCATTTTACAAGGAATAACGCCTTTTTTGACAGTGTTCTGTAGAAAAAAGGCCAGTGTGGACACGGGCTTTTTTTTCCCCTGGAAAAAAAAAAAGTCCTCCAAGGAAAACCCCTGCTGGACAATCCATCTTCAGGGAAAACCTCTATTGTTCCTGTTTGTAGCCATGTTTTAAAGGCACAGACACCCTGGGCAGCCATTTTGACAGGAAGCTGGCCACAGACCAAGACTGTCAGCACACAGCTCTCCCTGCCTCCCCACCACGTGGCCATGTGTGAAACCCAAGATCCCCATTGCCCCCAAGGACCTTCGAAGGAGCCATCACAGATGTCCTCTAAGGGAAAGAAGAGAGCTCCAACCTGGTCAGGGCTAGAGGTCCTGACCCTGCTCGAACTTTGGGGCGAGGAGGAAGCGCTCCAGGTTCTGCACACTTGGCGCAGAAATGCGGACATATACGGACGCATGGCTCAGGGGCTGTCACAAAAAGGCACCACCCCAGGACATTGGACCAAGTCCGGGCCAAAGTAAAGGTGCTCAGGCATGGCTACGCCAAGCCCCGTGAGCGCAGCTCCACCTCAGGTGCAGCACCAGTGAACTGTGCCTACTACCAGGAGCTCGACCACATCCTAGGAGGTCGGGAACTGCTGTCTGCCCCAGTGCTAATGCAGATGGGCTTGCACACACCAGTGCAGCACTGCCAGAAGGGGATACCGGACACAGAGCAGCAATTTCCAGGAGAAGACGAGGAGGAGAAAGAAGACACCACTGAAACTGCAGTGACCCTTACCCCTTACCTGTCCCCGAGACCCAGGAGGCCTCGCAGGCATCCTCCAAAGCTGGCGAGGGAACATCAGGTGAATGCAGTCACGGTCACAGACACAGAACAGGGGAGGTGGGAGCAGAGAGGATGCAGAGCAATCTGCACGTCTTGGTGTCAGGGGGTCGCCCCTCCCTCGGGGCGGGCCGCCTGCCTCCGGGGCATAGTTCACTCTTCCCCGACCTCGTTTCAAAGGACCACTGCCCCTGTATTAGGGGAACTATGGCCCTCTGGCCTAGTCCTTCAGCCAAGCCCCCACTTGTTGGGGGTCAGGGAAGGAGGGTTAGGGGACCCCGGGCCCTCCCTCTCTAGGTGGCTCCTCCCACTGGCTCAGCGGGGGTTCCTTCCCACAACGCGCCGAGCCCTACGGGGCCTCTCCGGCTCCCCGCCGTGGGCCACTTCCTTTCCCCTCCCCACGGCCCGTAGTGGTCTCACCGGTCGCCGGGAGTCAGGCGGCTGTTGCGGCTCTTCCCCAGTCGGCGTCGGGGTTGGGGGTGGCCGGTCTGGTGCCTGGGTCACGGGGGGTCGGCCGGTGGCTCCGTCATTGGGGCTGTGCCAGTCCTAGCGACTCCCTTTCTGGTGGTCCAGTCTGCGCCGCGGGCGGTTGGGCGCTAGCTCCAGCTCTGGCCGTAGTCTGCCCCCTCTGAGCAGGCCGGCAGGCTTTTATGCCTTGGCTCCCCTGGGAGCATGCCCAGTAGGGCTGTGTGGGTGGGGCCCTCTCCACCCCCGGCACCAGGTGGTTTCCCTGGGCTTTAGTGCAGGGCGGGGCCGCCCTGTCACACTTGGTCTTCCTAGACAGCTTGCATCTCTCTGTGCACGTGCAAGTAGATGGGCAGGTGGTGGGTATGTGGACGGGGCCCTGGGAGACCCAAGGTGCTCCAGGCCCCTGTCCTACTTCTTGTGACCCACTGTGGCTGCACATTTCCCTGGCCTGTAAGGCCATGGTGGAGGGGAAAGATGTGTGTGTGTGTGTGTGGGGGGGGGGAGGGCATTGCCTTAGTCACAACAAAGCCCCTGTGAGGCTGGGGTGGCTTTGTGGCCTTGCAGTGACAACATTCCCATCCCTTGTTGTTACTGAGCCCAAGCAGGGATAATGTGTGAATTTCTGACACTGATCAGTTCTCCCTCTTCTTCTCCACAGCCGGACCTGCTGCTGCTGACCTCCAGGCAACACACGTGCCACCCCCCACCCGGTCCCATGGCACCTGCAGGCATTGGTGGGTCTACAACGACCTCCTGAGGAGGCATGTCGAGGCCATGGAGAGAATGGAGGACACCATGGCGGAAAGGGCAAGGGAGGAGGCTCGCTGGAACAATCATCTCCTGGAAGATTTCCTCCCCCCAGTGGAGTGCTATGTGTGCCACTGTCCGAGAGGCCCTGACTGTGCCAGGTCCTCTCCCCATGGGGACTCCTCCCGCTCATCCGGCTTCAGCCCCCTCTGTCCCCTCTTCTTCTCCCTCAGCCACTGCCACCGGGCACAGCCCCAACTCAACCCCGAGAACAGCTGGGTCCATGGACCCGAGGTTGCAAAGGTTTGTGGCCCAGGCAATACTGTTATCATCCGTAGTCTGCCTGCCTGCCCTCCAGGTTGACATCCTCCCTCCTCCCACAGTTTTAAAAACAGTTATAGAGTTTACAAAATAGTTTATTTTTACATACATGTTGAACAGTTCTATTTTTTTTTACAAAGTTATTTATTTGAAAGTTAATTGTTAATAAACATTATATTTTTGAGATTTAACATGGTGTGTGTCTCTTAACTGCCCAGAGGCTGGTACAGGGATGGGTTGTGGGAGGGAAGGGTTTTGGGAGGGGGGGCGGTCCCATGGCACCTGCAGGCATTGGTGGGTCTACAACGACCTCCTGAGGAGGCATGTCGAGGCCATGGAGAGAATGGAGGACACCATGGCGGAAAGGGCAAGGGAGGAGGCTCGCTGGAACAATCATCTCCTGGAAGATTTCCTCCCCCCAGTGGAGTGCTATGCGCGCCACTGTCCGAGAGGCCCTGGCTGTACTATGTCCCACCCTGCCGGCCCCAGCCCCCTCTGCTCCCCCTTCCTCTCCCTCAACCACTGCCACTCCTCCAGCCCTGCCCCCCCCCCTCCACTAGGGCAGAGCCAGCTGCAGCCCTGACTTGAGCCCGAGGATGACAGGGTCCACGGACAAGAGGTGGAAAAGTCTTGCGGCCCAGGCGATACCTCTATTACCCTTAAGTTGTCTGCCCTCCCTCCCTCCCTCCAGGTTGAAATCCCCCTTCCTACCACAGTTATAAACACAGGTTAATAGTTCCCCAAAAAGTTTATTTTTTAACAGTTGTTGAACAATTCTATGTTTTATAACAGTTCCTAATTCTAACGTTACTTGTTAATAAACATTATATTTTTCATATTTAACATGATGTGTGTGTCTTAACTGTTCAGAGGCTGATGCAGGGATGGATTATGGGGGGGAAGGTTTTGGGATGGGGTGCCCAGGCCCACAGGCCCCATTGGGAATACCTTGGGGAATCATTGGGCTCTAGCTGAGAAGCGCTCACGCAGAGCCTCCCGGATGCGAACCCCCACCTGATGGGCTTGGCGAACGGCAGCTGTCCGAGGTTGCACAAACCGCCTCCCCTCCACTTCAGCCATTGGCCCCCAACCTGAAAGGAAGGCCTCCCCTTTGCTCTCCACCAGGTTGTGGAGGATGCAACATGCTGGCACCACGCACAAACTGCCTCCCCTTCACTTCAGCCATTGCCCCCCAATCTCGGAGGAATGCCTCCCCTTTGCTCTCCACATGCAGCCACCACCTCTGGGATATGGCGTTCCCCCATGTCGAGGCGAGTGAGCAGGCACCTAAACCTTCTCTTCAGCCGGCCAAAGGTGCATTCCACCTATAAACACACCCGTGTCAGGTGCGCGTTAAAGAGTTCCCTGTTTGGGTTCAGATGCCCAGTGTATGGCTTCATGAGCCAGGGCCACGAGGGGGTACGCCGCATTGGCCACAATGTAGACCAGCATCTCCATGTCCCCAACAGCAGTGTTTCGCTGGGGGAAGAAGGTTCCAGCCTTGGTAAAGGTGTGAATTGCAGAAGATCCTAGCATCATGTGCCCGGCCCGACCACCCCACACAACTGTCCATGAATAGTCCATGGTGGTCAACCAGGGCCTGCAGCACAATGGAGAAGTACCCTTTTCTGTTAATATAACGGGCTGCTCCATGGGGCGGTGCACAGATGGGAATGAGAATTCCATCAAGCACTTCTCCGCAGTTTGGGAATCTCAGCCCAGCAAAACTGGCCATGTCTAGGTCTCGGAGGCGGACAATCCTGTTCAGCAGCTCAGAGTTGATGGCCCTCACCATCTGCAGAAATAGACACATACAAACACAGAGAATAGGAAATTAGAGGGGTTGCCCAAGTCTTTGGGAGGTCCCCCCGCTCCCGCGGTGATTGCTCCCAGCAGTACAGTGGAGTGAGGCCAGGAACCCTTCACCATCTACCCTCCATTGCCCCTACCCCCGCCCTCTCCTGGTAGAGTCCCCCTACCCCTCATGGACTGTCCCCGTCCCCCCAAGGGACTTA